CAAACCCTTAAATATCTCAATTTAAGTATAAATGGACTTAGGCCACTTTCAAAATAAACGGCTCAATAATAATTATCGCTAAACGCAATACGTGTTTTGATGGATAATCAGAATTGATACTTGAAATCCGAATATGTCAAAAAATTATTATACACACACAGATACACACAAGAAGATAAAATTATATCTTATCCATTGTTTAATCATTTGTATACGTTTTTTAATCATTTCGTAATTCCTTCCCAATGTTATATTTAAGTAGAAAATCAGGTCGTGGCATTTCAGCCGTTTTTTTTTAGTAAATTGTGTTTCTTTCATGGTAAAGATGATTTTTAATTTTCCCTGTGCTTTTTCAATGATAGGCCTTTCTGCATGATTGGCAAATGACGAAATAATATTGAAGCGGGACAAGGTATGTTACATCATAATTCGAAATCAATACTTGAGCTTCAAGTGGTTCCATTCGAACTATTGTGTTACATATTAGAAATACAATATGAAAATGCTATGTATACATGTAAATGTAAATTTCACTAGTGCAGAGTGTTCTTAGCTCTTAAAATCAATTTCACTGCTCCTGACCTGCATTTTGTTCGAAGAAGATAAAATTGGCAATCTATTTACACTCCCAATCTTACTATACCCAAATGCATAAACGAAATGAAAAAAAATCGGATGAAATTTCGGAAAGTTCTTTTTATCCAGTTTTTATGAAAAATTATAGTTCGAATGAAAAAATTTCATTTTAACCACACCCGCAGAAAAATAATATTATAATCATTACATATGCTCGCGGGTAAAAGTATCGTTGTAACCTTAACAGCAATTATTGTAGATGTAATTACAATTTTTTGTCCTTTTAACCATTGCGGCTGTAGCAGCAACTGCAGAATTCTTGTAAATAAATTGTAGTTATATTTGCATCCGATAGTGTTACATATATAACATTGCAAAGTAAAAATTACACGTATAAAGGCACGCGTAAAAATGACCATCACAGTTGTTAAATTGAAAAGCAAGAACTCTATTGAAAACCGTAAAATATACCGTAGCACTAGTGTTTCTTTCAAGTGTGAACTGTTATTGTTCCTATTGTGCGATTAAGCCACAGCGCGAGAAGCATTCGGGTCGTGACATGCATTAGTTGCGCAGTCCTGCGAACCGTTAGATTCATTGTGACTTCGGTAGCCGCATCATTCGGTCCTCTTCGAAATTCCGTTTTCGATCTAATTTAAGATCGAGTTATACTTTTTCAATTCATTGTAATAATTTGATTAAGTGACTATATGGATGACTTTGTAAAAAATGAACTTCAGGAGTAGAGGTTAGAAAACCTACAACAATCGTTCCAAGGTAAACTTTACAAAAAACAAATATTTACCGTTTTCAATGTATTATATATGTAGTGATTTCCCGAGTTCCAGACAGGAAAGGATACCGTTTACAATGATACTTTTTATACGCAGCAACGGCAACATATATGTACGTTTGTCAATGGTAGTTTTTACACGAGCTGACTGTAATATACACGTGTCGCTATTGTATTTTCTAGCTACCCTAACGGTAATAAATGCGTTGCTGCATGTTACTTTCTACAGGTATCAACAGTAAAGGGTCCACTAGCGAACGTTATCATATACACACGTTATGTAGCAACAATTGCTTCAGTTTACGAGTTTACCCGGTCACGATTGTGAATATAACTGTCGTATCGTTGTAACTGTAATAATTCTTTGTAATAACGTGTACTACAATGAAATTGTACATTTGACATTTTCAGCAGAGTAATCAATACTTTGTAGAACTGCTGTCCTTATATTTACCAGCGATTGCTGTTACATCTATCTCAATTGTAGTAATTAAAGCACCTTTTTTCTCCGAGTACCGTTTACAATTATACATTTTATACGCAGCAACGGCAACATATATGTACATTTGTCAATGGTAGTTTTTACACGAGCTGACTGTAATATACACGTCGCTATTGTATTTTCTAGCTACCCCAACGGTAATAAATGCGTTGCTGCATGTTACTTTCTACATGTATCAACAGTAAAGGGTACACCAGCGAACGTTATCATATACACACGTTATGTGGTAACTATTGCTTCAGTTGACTAGTTTATGCTGTCACAATTGTAAATTTAACTGTCGTATCGTTGTAACTGTAATCATTATTTGTAATAACGTGTACTAAAATGAAATTGTACATTTGACATTTTCAGCAGAGCAATCAATACTTTGTAGAACTGCTGTCCTTATATTTACCAGCAATTGCTGTTATATCTATCCCAATTGTAGAAATGATAACAACTTTTTTCTCTCCGTGGATTTACAGAACAACACGAAATTTGCATTATCATTTACGTATGTTATGCGATAACTGGTATGAATTTATTCCAGTTCCTTGAGGAATATTAACCAATTGCCGACGGAAATTAATTTATGTAACTCCAGGACGTTATTCATATCTCTATTTGATTCCGTAATATTATTATTAGCAAATATAGTCCTGCTAAATGTTAATATTAATCGACCATATTAATTTTATGTTCACATATTTATGGAAGCATTTCGTTACGTGATTTTCATAAACGAATATTAGAATACGATATGGATTTAGAACCTTCTGATTTATGAACGCACATATACTTGTTAAACCAATTCATATGTAGATGTAAAGTTGTCGCTATTATTATCGGTGCATCTATATTGAGCCGTCCGACTAGGAAATGGCTAAATATATAGTTACACGACCTATGTTCGAATCGAAATCCATACCCGTTCAAGTAAAATTGAACGCCCCATACAAAGCAGAAATTGTAAGCAAAAATTAATCGCCGGTAATTCTTGGTAAGATAAAGGAGATTTTCCGATTCATAACTTTAAATAAGAGGTGACGATGATTCATGAAATAAAACTCGTACAAAGAATCTAAGAAGAACAAATATCTTTAATAATTAAAAACTAAATTGTAAACGTTATTAAGCTTGTAAAGAAAATACTACTATTATTATAGAATACAAATATGATACATTTCCTTATTCTTAATTGATATTATTTAAGAAATCGTATCAAAATTACAAAATAAATGTATTTTTGGAAATTCATAAGTCGCTATAGCGTCTTTTTTCTAAATGACTCACTAATTTCATAATACTCTGCAGTTTTTCGCTTCGGTGACTCAAGAAGTCTTGACGAAAGTGTGATTAAATAGTCATTAATAAAATCATCACATTAGACTACCCTTTTAAAATTCTAAATGGTCTAGAGTAATAAAATTGAAGTACCAAGCGTTATCAAATAAAGCCGAGGAAACATTATCGTGAAAGACAGAGAAGAAGAACCAGAGTTATTCGACTACGAACTATGAAATAAAACTCGTACAAAAAACCTAAGAGGAACAAATATCTTTAATAATTAAGAACTTAATTTTAAACGTTATTAAGCTTGTAAACGAAATACTACTATTATTATAAAATACAAATATAATAAATGTCCTTATTGGTAATTGATATTATTTAAGAAATCGTATAAAAATTACAAAATAAATGCATTTTTGGAAATTCAATAGACGCTATAGCGTCTTTTTTCTAAATAACCCACTAATTTCATAATACTCTGCACTTTTTCGCTTCGGTGACTTAAGACATCTTGACGAAATTGTGATTAAATAGTCATTAATAAAATCATCACATTAGACTACCCTTTTAAAATTCTAAATGGTCTCGAGTAATAAAATTTAAGTGGCAAGCGTTATCAAAAAAAGCTGAGGAAACATTATCATGAAAGACAGAGAAGAAGAACCAAGGTTATTCGGGTACTAACCATGAAATAAAACTCGTACAAAAAATGTAAGAAGAATAAATATCTTTAATAATTAAGAACTAAATTTTAAACGTTATTAAGCTTGTAAAGAAAATACTACTATTATTATAGAATACAAATATAATACATTTGCTTATTCTTAATTGATATTATTTAAGAAATCGTATCAAAATTACAAAATAAATGTATTTTTGGAAATTCAAAAGAAGAAGAAATTCGACTACTAACTGGCCCATATATTTTAACGGGCAACTTAAGTACAATCCTGAAAGATATAAGGTCCTGAGAGTACAAACCCTATGCTCCAATATAACACAAAAGTTACAGACCATGTGGCTGGAAAACATGAATTTAACCACGGTGATTTCACTCTTAGAAAAAAATCGCGGGCACAGAAATAAAATTCAATTACCATGGAATTCAAGTTTAAGACACTAAAAGTCCCTAAAGCCTGAAATTGAAATGGACGTCTGACGCTCTTTCATCTCCGCTATTTAGTCCCACCCTGACCTTCGATGCGACACCAATATTCTCTTCCGTGACGCAAAATAATTCCCTATTATTATTTAGGCTAAGAAGAAATAACCTTATTGACCAACTGACATCATATTGTCAGAAACTAATGAACAAGTGTACAAGGAAGGAGACACCGTACCATAAAACCAGGGGCCAACATCGTTTCAACATTACTAATTCGTCTAAATAAAACACCAACGTATCCCCAACAGTATAATGCCTCCAAAGTTTAATTGTTCTTAAACTTTTGCCAGAAACCAACCAATAAATCAGGCGGAAAAATGAGAACCAGAGACTGAAACGGGTATGAAAATTTATTAAACTCTTCTAAACGATTTAACCACCAACTAGGAACATAACAGTTGTAGACTTAGAGTTTACACAAAGCTTGAGCTTTCAGTTCGTGTGATAAATCGGGGCAGAGCAACGATTGAAAAGACAAGAGTCAGGGCTCAACGTGCAGACAGCGAGAACAGGTCCAATTACGTTTGTGTCGCTAAAAAAAATAAAAATCAGGAGAATAATGGAAAATATAATTGGGAATACAGCTCACGCAGAGTACGGCTGGGTAGTTGAAGTCCCGAAGGGGAGTTGAGTCTTGGACTGACAGGGTGCTACCACGGTCCGTCACTAAAGATGTACGGAGTAATACTTACTCTGTTTAAGGTGGTTCCTCAGTCTCCCGACAACTCGTCTAATCACTTCGTGCTTTGCTGATTCTGCCCTGCGGTCGGGAACGGAGTTAGTCTTATAAGTACATTGTTAAACTCTAAAATATACCCGAGGTGAGGTAGACACGGGGGAAAATCTATCCGTGACACGGACTCGAGAAGAGGTACCAAGTGCGCCTGACTGGACTGAAATGAACATGGCCGACTCGACGAATCGATAAAACACGTTACGTTTTCCGCCGTCGAGCAGCCACCCCCGAGAGCGCGGATTAGCCCCTCGATGAACAAGCGAGATCAACCCTAAGATTCAAACCGGATACTAGAAGGAACGCGATCGCGATTTTTCTCAATATACCTAGATCCTGTCAGCTATTCCCCATAGAAAGGTCCCTCTTGAATTTTGCAAGCTCGATGAATTCGGGATACTGTAATGGAAATCGATTCCCAACCGTGCAGGGCCATGCGTTCTGGTGCATTTGAATCTTGCGGACCATTTTGAGCGGGGAATTTGAACGAGTAAACTACTCGGAGAGAAAAAAGTTGTTATAATTACTACAATTGGGATAGATATAACAGTGATCGCTGGGAAATATAAGGACAGCAGTTCTACAAAGTAATGATTACAGTTACAACAATACGACAATTATATTTACAACCGTGACAGCATAAACTAGTCAACTGAAGCAATAGTTACCACATAACATGTGTATATGATAACGTTCGCTGGTGTACCCCTTAGTGTTGATACATGTAGAAAGTAACATGCAGCAACGTATTTATTACCTTTGGGGTGGCTAGAAAATACAATAGCGACACGTGTCTATTACAGTCAGCTCGTGTAAAGACTACCATTGACGAACGTATATATATGTTGCCGTTGCTGCGTATAAAAAGTATCATTGTAAACGGTATCCTTTCCTGTCGGGAACTCGGGGAATCACTACAGATATAATACATTGAAAACGGTAAATATTTGTTTTATGCAAAGCTTATCTTGGAACGATTGTTGTAGGTTTTCTAACCTCTACTCCTGAAGTTCATTTTTTACAAAGTCATCCATATAGTCACTTAATCAAATTATTACAATGAATTGAAAAAGTATAACTCGATCTTAAATTAGATCGAAAGCCGAATTTCGAAGAGGACCGAATGATGCGGCTACCGAAATCACAATGAATCTAACGGTTCGCAGGACTGCGCAACTAATACATGTCACGACCCGAATGCTTCTCGCGCTGTGTCTTAATCGCATAATAGGAACAATAACAGTTCACGCTTGTAAAAAATACCGTAATAGAAATCAATTCCGAACCGTGCAGGGCCATGCGTTCTGGTGCATTTGAATCTTGCGGACCATTTTGAGCGGGAAATTTGAACGAGTAAGCTGAGGAAAGCCAACAGCACACCTTCCTCGTACTTCAAAGTGATTACTTACATTACAATATGAAATGCAGATACCAGAAACTATAAAATTGAGTAATGAAGATGATTGATATATTCGAGAAGAAAACTATACTTTGGTAAGACGTTTCAAAGAATTTTTCATTTCGTCTAACTTTCAGTCTACACTCTGTTAATCGGTAAATGACATCAACGTTACTCTCAAAATTAGTTTCTTGGAAACATTCACCATGACGACTAAGAGTTTTTAAAACTCTTTGCAATTCATTGAGGAAATCATCCTTTGAATTTCGCCAGTTTGGCGCGTTTTCAGACATAGGAGGTTTGTTCGCGTGACTGCACTTTCTACCCTCGAGGGTAACGAGGGTAACGAGGGTACTACACTTTTCTTGAAAAGTGCAGAAGGGTAGATACAATTTCGTCGACATCCCGAACGCCAGAAACCTCACGAAAGTCCAAGATGATCGATTCAGTAGAGCGGTACGTGATTTTGAGGTTATCCGTATCGGGCGATGACGAATACGAAAATGTAATGCTTCTTCCAGCCTTCCTTCTTGAGCTGTCTTCGTTTTCTTCAAATCCTACAATTCGTTCTATTACCTTGTAATTGTAGAAGATGAAAATGCCTTTCACGAATTTCAGGTATCGAAGACCAATAAGGGTTATAATATTATTGCAGTAGAATGAAAACCAATTTAACTACAACAGGGAAAAATTATAGTTTAGTTCGTTCCAACCGTGGTTAGGTAGTAATACATAATTATTGTAAGTTGTTTCAAACATTATGTACGAAACTAAAACGCTAAATCGTTGTATACACGAATAAGATGCACTAATAATTACTTCCGTTTAGATTACGTTGAGGTGTTAGCATAAATTTTGTATTTTCCCGTTTGTTGGTCTTTTCAATTTTGAAATTTGCCGCCAAATTCGCGGACTACCCTTCTTGCACTCGCTCGGGATCGAGGGTTGAAAGTGTAGAGAAAGGGTACACTCGGGGTAGATGCCCTCGCAAAACGAACAGCGACGTTTGCGTCACTTCCGTCAAAACGAGCGCCAAAGTGTACTCTTTTCGTAAAAGTGTAGNAGTGTAGAGAAAGTGTACCCTCGGGGTAGATGCCCTCGCTAAACAAACAGCGACGTTTGCGTCACTTCCGTCAAAACGAGCGCCAAAGTGTACTCTTTTCGTAAAAGTGTAGAAAGTGTAGGCAAAACGAAGTGTAAATTTTATTTATTAGCATAAGAAAACTTTTTAACTGGCATTATGTATTTCAGTTGTCAAAAGTGGGCAAAATTTGTTGGGTGGAAGGATATTTTAAAACACCTTCGCTTGCGAGATCACTTCAACTCGGAATTAATATGGAAAAAGCATCCCAGGCCGTTACTCATTCGTGGTGCCATTCCTACTATCCAATCGTGGAGCCCTTGGCATCATACGAAGACAGAAAATGTACCCACAAAAGAAATGAACTTGACAGACGTCAGGAGTAAATGTTTACCATTTGGATTGTAAGTATTTATAAAAAAGAAAAGTTGTAATGTAAATATTTTATTATGTAAAACATATTGTTCATGTGTATTTCATATTGCGTTCCTTTTCACGCATTCAAATTTCCCGCTGGATGAGGCACTGCTAAGTAGTGGGGGGTTATTTAGTGTATATCCCACTCACGAGGGAGCGCTGAAGACAATATACGCAAAAATACACTGCGGTCTTTTGGGACCTCCGCTTTATCTAACACTCTTTGCTCTCATCTTCTCCAGGAGGGTGACAATCGGAGAAATTAAATCATGGACGTAAGAATATATTCTTACGTCCATGAATTAAATGGTGTTTGCAGCGCCATCTGACCTAGTAGACG